GAAGCCCAACACTTCTCTGTGCTCTGCCCTCCACCACCACTGTGGTCTGGCCTTTCCCACTTCCCATCCTGATGGCTACAATCCATTTCCAAAGTGATCTTGGAAAGCATAGTCTGAAGCACGCAGCTGGCTTATGTAACATCTTCCAATGACTGCCCGCTTCTCTTAAAAGCAAAATCAAACTCAAATGCTAGCACTGCCTACAAGGCCCTGATTTTCTTGGCCCCTTCCAAACTCTCCTGCACGATTTCAAGCAACTGTGCACTCCCATCCTGCCTCAGTTACTTGCTAAAGTTCTTGGCAACCGCAGCAGGCTCAAGGCCTGTCCTCAAATTCTTCAGGCCAGTGGAACAACTTGCTGATCAATCCTGAGTTGATATTTTAAGTCTGGTCTGTACCCAGCAAAGCTTTTCAAGAAGGTCTCACAACCTAAGCAGAGCCTCTCTTACTCTCCATGGTAGCAATTGTGGAAATTATACTTAAATATTTGGTTTTGCCACACTTTTTTTAGGTTCCATATCAGAGTGAGGAATTGCTTTCCTGGCCTTGATCCACACTGGTAGTACACTGGCTTTGTGTGCGTACTAGGCAACTGAATGAGAGAGTGAACAGGTGTCCAGGAGGCCAGACGTGGAGGGCCCAGCATGGAGAGGAGACACTGGGCTGGGACCTGTGGGAGCCCTGGACCTGCAGGCAGGGAGCTGAGATCTGCCGTCCCCTGCCGCTCCCACTGGTCAGATCTCCTTCCCCTTCCTGAGTCTCTGACTCAGCCCAGCTCTATCTGAACTGCTGCACGATTTTGTGCGTGGAGAGCAGGGCTCCCCCTTGCCATCCTGTCTTCTCTTCCCCTCCCACTTGCAACCCTGCTTCTCTAGGCCCCTTCCCACCACATCCTTGACTGGAGTAACTGGTGATGATTTAATGTCAGACATCTAATACTCACCTCTGCTCGGGCAGGGAAGTGACTGGAGCCTCGCAGTTGGCTTTGAGTGAAGGAGGGTCCCCCATTCCATCCTAGGGTGGGCTCCCCCTTAGGCTCAAGTGGTATATGCAAGGGCCCCAGACCAAACAGCCACCCACAAAAAAATCTTCATGGCAAAGACAAGCTCCCTTTTCTACTTTTCCAGCCCATATGAGAGGTTGAATCCAGGGCCTTTGTACTGAGTTACGCCCTAGCCTCTCCATCCCTACTCTTTTGAGACACTATCTAGCTAAGTTGCTAATTGTCCAGGCTGGGCTTGAACTCTAGATCCTCCTGCCTCACCCTTCTAGAGTGTTAGGATTACAGGTGTGAGCCAGCCCTTCCTCACAGAGGTGGCTTCTTCTATATGCCCTGTGGGTACCTGTTCTCTTGATCCCAAAGGGTCAAATGACATGGTGTCTCTCTTCCTGCCTGTTTGAGGCACACTCAGCAAAGGAGAGGGGCCTCCTGCAGCTCACTTTCCAGTTTCAGAGGTCTTAGCATAAAGCTGAAAGGCTGGCCAGCTAGGGTGCCACACACCTGTTATCTCAATAATTTGGAAGCTGCAAAAGAAGGATCATAAATTCAAGATCAGCCTGGGCTACATCATAATGAGACCCTGTCTCAACTCAACACACACACACACTGAAAGGTCTAAAAAGAATAAAGTAAATTTTTGCAGAATGAGCGTATGTCTGTGGGCAGGGTGGGGGGAAGAAGTACAATCAAAAAGGAATTTAATATTTGATACAATGAAGAAGAAGAAACAGTATCAAATAACAACTACCATTTAGTGGTCCATATTATGACAAACACATTGTAAAGTGTTTGACACAATGTTTTATTTATGTTTCAAAACAACCCAACAATTCATAACAGCTGCAGGGTGGAAGCAGCCTATATGCCCATCACCAGACAGTGGATAAAGAAAGTTTGGTACTGAGAAACAATGGAGACCTACTTTGCCATAAAGAAGGATAACCTGAGGGATATTTAGGTAAATGGATGCACCTGGAGACCATAATCTTCAGTGAAATAAATCAGATACGTGGGTTTAAACATCACATGATTCTCTCATACGAGAAACTCAAAATATAGATAAGGGGAAACTAAAGTCTAGATAATAGGACGATCTTTTTCGAAGGAGAAGGGAAATAGGCAATGGAAGGAAGGGGAAGAAAGAAGGAAAGGAAAGGGAATTTTAAAAGAAACAGAAAAAATAGAAATGGAGCTTTTCAAATGCCAAGGAGAAAAAGAGTTGGAGGGACCAGGGAGAGGTAGAAGGGGACAGGGGCAGGAAAGAGTTAAGATCTGCTGTGTACATGAACACACTCCCCATGGGAGTCATGTCCTGCAAACATTTACTAATAAAAAAAAATCCTAAAACCGAACAAGATACACGTGTGTGCACCCATTTGACAGACCAGAAGGTCAAGTTCCAGGGGAGAGATCCTGATACCCTTGCTCTGAACCCCTACTAGAAACTGCTCTCATAGAGATGAGAAGGAAAGAAAGGAAACTGGTTTCTGGTGTGGCAGAGGGTTTGCCATGAGACATAAAGACCTTCCTGACAATGAGGTCCGCTTGCTTGTAGTCAGGGTAATTAGGCTTCTTAGAGCTTCCCCTCTGGTGGCCTTTACACTTAAGATGAATGGGTGCCTCTGTGTCCGGGTGGTCAAAGGGAGGAGCTCTCTGCTCCCAGCTCGAGACTAGTGCTTGAACTGACAGCCTTGCTGGGGAACACAAGACTGCCACCCACGAAACCGTTAGATAACAGGAAAAGATAGGGCAGCATGTGTGCCCAAGTGGGACCGGAAGAAAGCAGGCCGATGCCACTGTGGCTGAAAGCAAGGGCTTTGTGGTCAGCCGGTGTCTCTGGGTCCCCTCTGACTCTGTTACCGGCATGACCTTGGCTATGTTACTTACCTTCACGAAGCCCTGGTTTCTTAGTCAGTAAAAAGAGGCTAAGAATAGAAACTGCTGTAAAAAGTGGCCATGAAAATTAAATGAGATGATCCATGTGAAATACTCAGCAGAGAACCTGGGCATAATACGAATACGATGAACAGCGGCTGCCATAATAATAACTGTTGGAGTCCGGAGGCAGAGGCAGCGGGCAGAGGTGCAGGGCTGTAGGTGTGAGAAGCCTGGATTTTGTCCTGGATCTTGCAGACTTGTTAAGGTTAAGTCAGAAGAACGGTGGCAGAGATAGACAGGGTTTGTAGAATGAAATGAAATTTTGAATTCTCTATCATCTTAAAAGAAAAATCGGATGGATTATTGTTTCTTGTTTGGGTGTTTTGTTTTGTTTCTAAGACACAGTCTCACTGTGTAGTCCAAGCTGTCCTTGAACTTCTGATTCTGCTGCCTCAGCCTCCAAGTGTTAAGAGAAAATTCTAGTTTGATCTTTGGTTGAAGTGGAGAGGGAAGGTGACTGTGAGAAGTGATGGTGGAGAGATGAGGTCTTTCAACTTTGATTCCAAGCCCCAAACTAAACAGGGGCAAAGCCTTAGAGGTATAGAAGAGAAATCAGACATCAAGGCTCCTTTGGCCCGCTTCTTCTGGGTTGGTGAATGGCCCCAGGGAAGGGGCAGGTGCCTGGGAGCCCCCTGAGGGCACAGCTGCTGCAGGAAGCAGAGGAAGTTAGGAAATGGGGGTGAGGCCCTTAATGAGTGTGTGGTCTGACTCACCGGGGAATACCTAGGTTTAAGACTGCATCACTGGCTAACATCATGTCAGGCAGGAGGGGAGTGTAGGGACCCCGAGCATCTCTCATTTCCTTCCCTTCCAGCTCAGGGTGAGAGTCCTAGAGGTGCCATCTTTAGGCTAATCCAATTATTCTCTGGCACCCTGCCTCATCTCCCCAGGGTGAAGATCAAGTCTTCAATGGTCAGGTGGTAGCCTGGGAAGATGCTGGTTTATTTTAGATCTTCTATGCCTAATTTCTGTCAAGGACCAACTGTCAACCCCCATGTCAAGCACCACATGGGCTCCTGTTCATGTTGATTCTGTTATTTTCCCTAGCATCTGATTCTGTAAGCTTAGAGACCCAACAATCTGTGTCTTTAACAAACAGCCAGGCGATTGATTCTTTAGGTAGGACAAATTTGGAAAACCCGGAGAATCTCTTCAATCCCTTTCAGTCCAGGATTTAGGCCACAGAATGCAATGCAAAGGGCCTGTGGTGACCCTATAGCCCACAGGACCCGATGCTGGACACCACAGCAGGGCAGAAGGTTACAGAGCAAAGGGGATTCCACCCATCTGCTAAGATCCTAAAGAGGACAACGGGACCTAAACAAGCAAAGGTGGAAACGGCCAAGAGGACAATGGGCTGTCAGCACGGCTGTGTGTTCTCAGAAGGCCCTGGCAGACCAGCACTGGCCACCACCGATACACACAAGGACAAGCGAGCGCAGTTTTAAGACAGGTCCAAAGTGACACAGCGAATCAGAGAAGGCAGGAGCACAGATCTCTCTTGTCTTCACCCTGCCTATTGTTGGGGTGCGCAGTAGGGCAGGCGCATCATTTTGGGGGGTGAGAGGAGCAGCATCCTGGGGCTCTGGTGTCTAACATTACCCAGAGGAAAGGCCCTGAACTGAGAGTGGAACCCCAAGGGGAAAGGAAAGCTTCTCCTTTGGCGGGGGGGGGGGGGGGGGGGTGTTACAAAGTGTTCTGGTCTCTGTGACATCTCACACCCGCCTGGTGGGCGAGAGACCCGCCCCACCCTGACCTAGGGCAGGAGAAAGGCGGAGGGCCAGATGAGGTTGGAGTTTGCAAACGCTTTTGAGAAATTCGCTGTGTCAGAGAAACTAGAAGACCAAACCAAACCCCTAAAAATCCCAGCTCGATCACTGCATCCACGTGGCACAAGAACGAGCCAAAAGGGGGTGGGGGGGTCGGGCAGGGAAGTTACCGTCCCGCCCGCGGTGGGAGCAGGGATTCGTCGGGGAGGCAGACTCCTGACCCTGCGGGCCGCCGGCGGGGCGCAGCGGGGAGGGCGGGACCCCGAGAGCGCCTTCCCCCCCGAAGCCCGGGCCGGGGTGCGCGGTCCGGCCCCGCCCGCCAGCCGCCGAGGGCCCTTTAAGGGCCGGGAGGTGCGCGGTCTCTTTAAGGCAGGTCCCGGTGGTTTCTGTTTTCTGAAGGAAGTGACGGGGGGTGGGATTGAATGAAAAGTGCAAAACAGAGTCTGCAGCGCCGGAGTCGGGGGCGCCGGGGCCGCGGCGCGGAGCGGGGAGCAGGGCCGGGCCGGCAGCGCAGCGGGGGACCCCGGCGGCCGGGGCGCAGTCCACGTGCGTCCGCGCCACGTCGCGGGCGCCCTCGCGGCGCAGTCCCGGGGGGAGCGGCGCCCCGACGCCCCGATCGAGCCCCCAACTCCGGGCCGAGTTTGCAGGCGCCGGAGGGAGGGCGGCGGCGGCCCCCGGGGATGCGCACCCCCCGCCGCCGCGCGGCCCCCACGGCGCGCCCCGCGCTGCCCACGGCGAGGCTGCTGCTGCCGCTGCTGCTGTCGCTGCTGCGGGCGCCGCGCGGCGTGGGGGGCGCGGGGCCGGCCGAGCTGCGGGTCCGCGTGCGGCTGCCCGACGGCCAGGTGACCGAGGAGACCCTGCAGGCGGACGGCGACGCCGACAGCATCACCCTGGAGCTGCGCAAGCCCGACGGCACCCTGCTCTCGTTCACTGCCGACTTCAAGAAGGTGAGAGCCGCGCGCCCCGAGCCCGCGACCCGCTCTCCGGTGGGCGCTCCCCGGCCTGCAGACGGGAAGACCGGGACCGGCGGGGACGTGATTTATTCGAGGTCACCGGAGCTCGTCTTCCACCTGCCTGCCCGCCGCCCACGCCGCGCGCTCCGCGGCTGCCCTCGGTGACCTCCTCGCTGGCGGCTCCTGCATCCTTCCATCCTCTCGCTCTCTCCGCTTGGCTCAGGGCAGCGGAGCCCCGGCTTGCCCCTGGCCAATCCTGCCCCCTCCCTGCTCCACTCTCCCCAGGACCCTCCTTCGAAAGAGTTCCTGTGAACATCCAGGCCTCCCTTCTTGGGGTTCCTGTGCTCAAAGGGAGAGTCTGAGCTGGGCATCTGAGGTCCTGGGTTCTCTGAGTGGCTGTGTGCTGGAGAATCAGTCTTTTTTCTCTGGGCCTGTTTCTCCTGTGTGTACCAGGCAGTGAGGGGACTTTGAGACCCTTTAGAGTCTTTCCTGGGCAGAGCTGCCTGCCCTAATCCCTCCAGGGCATGGAGGTGCTTCCAGACGGTTCAGGAAACGGACCTGGAAGGGCAGTTGGTGATTAATGGTGACCCAGCAGCAGGTTCTGGAGGCAAACACGGTAGGTGAGTTTTAGGTGTTTGAACGAAGTTTCCCCGTGACACCCCCTGCACTGGTAAAGAGAGGCCCTGTGCACCTCATCTCTGGGGAAGAACAGAGGAGAGACCAGCTGGATAGTTGGCGGCTGAAGGAGCCGTGGCCAGGGACAGCCTTCTCTCCTCCCTCTTAGAGACTGGAGCTGGGCAGGGAAGGCCAGAGTCTGGGGCGTGAATGAGGGACCCAGGGAAGTTGCCTTAGGTCGCTGGGTCAGGGAGACCAGTGGACAGTGGAGGACGGGGTGAGAGTCAACTGCTGACCTGTCCCAAGACCACTAAATAGGACTTAGCTGGGGGCAGAGCAGTCACAGATGGGAATACTTGGTGGCCTTTTCTTACTCTGTAGCCCCAATCTAGGTTCTTATGGGGCAGAAAATATTCTGAGTGAAGAAAGAGAAGTTGTTGGGCCCTGAACAAGCCCTGCCTCTCCACCTAAACCTCGGGGGCCTTTTAGCCAGGGTTAGCGAGGGTGCTCTGTTCTCAATTAGTGGCCGAATCTGCCCTGGAGTCAGGGATTCATTCTCCCATCTGAGTTCTTTGACCCTGAACGTGAGCCTTCCCCCTTCACGCCTGCCGGCCATGTCCGTGGCCACTCTGGGACCCCAGAGAGACTTGCAGGGCCCTCGGGCCTCCTCATCATCGGAGGCTCTGTGTGAAAGGCAGGAGGTGGGGCTGAGTTTTTATAGCTTCTAGCTACAACGGGGAGTCTATTTTTAATTGCTCTGCCCTGAGGGAGAGGAGGAGAGCCCAGGTAGCTGTGCCAGTGACTGAGGCAGCTAAGACTGGTTTGAGTGTGGGGTACAGGGGCTGGGGCTGAGTTTAGGGGGTGGCAGTGCATTCGGAGCTGACAGGAAGGCCCTCATTTTAATTTTCATCGGGATTGCACCCTCTGTCTAGATATCCAAAGTGTGCTTCCAGGATAGCCTCTGACCTAGAAGCTGCCATGTTGCACCAGACCCTGGCATCTCCAGTTTCTCAGCAGGAAAGGAATTGGAAATGGAAGGTACAGAGAGGAAATCAGCTCTCCAAGGTCCCCAGGACTCCAGATTCTCAGTTGGCCTGGGGCTGGGTGTAGCTCCCTTCATAGGAGGGAGAAAGGAATAGAGGAAATATCTCTCCCCATCCCGCTCAGTGCACTGTCTCCATTGCCCAGAGTGGCTCTGTGTCCCTGCCCTTCTGGGTGGTCACTTCTTTTGTCATCTGCTCACTGCTCAAGGCCCGGTGTCTCAGAGTGCTTGGCGCATTTCCACCAGAAAGTTGTCTGGAAGTAATGATGGTTATTGTTGTAAAAAGGGCCTGGGTGACGTGGGGTGTGTGGGTGTGTGTGGGCATCTGTTTCAGGTGCCAAACCCATTTCGACATGGTCGGGGGTAAGTTCTGAATCTGCCTGGGAACACTGATGTTTGCTTTCTAATCATCTTGGACTAAAAGAGGCAGGGCTGGATTCCCACTCATGAGAGGGTGATCACTGTGCTAGCTATGTGATCTCCTCAGGCCTTCCCTTCTTCAGCTGTAAAATGGGGCTAATCACAGTGCTTATCCCATGTTAACTGAGTGACTGAACAGGGTTGTGTACACAAAGTGCTCATTCTGCATCAGGTGCTGTGTTAAGTGTCCAGGAGCTAGAGAAGCTCCTTGCTTAGGTCATTGGGGCTCACCCAGCATCTCAGCCAGCACCATCCCTGCTAAGCTTGGACTCAGAAGTTGAACGATGGATCTCAGCTCCCCCAGAAAGTCAGCACTGACCTTCCGGGAGCCTTGTGTCCCTGCATATCTATTCCTGCCCCTGTGGGCCCGAAGCTAGGGTAGCAGTGGGTCATCCACGCACTGTGGGGCATTGGAGCCTCCGCTCAGCTTAACAAACCACAAGAATAAGTGTCAAATGAATTCTGAGAACCTGGGAGGAGAAGGGCAGAGTCTAGGTGTGGACTAGGAACCCAGTGAGGTGGCCTTAGATAACGGGCAGGGAGATCAGTGGGCAGTGGACAACGGGGTGAGAGTCAGCTGCCGGTCCATCCCAGGACTACCGTGCCTCTGTGCAAGCCTTGCCTTAGACTGATCCCTACCAGGCCAAAAGAATGCCATGGCTCAGTGGTGCCCAAGCTCTGCTGCACATTTAAGTCACCTGGGGAACTTTGAAAACTCCACATGGAACCAGAATGTCTGAGGGTAAGAGCCAGTCTGCATTTCTCAGAGGACTCCAGCTGACTGCAATGGATAACAAAGCTAGGGGACTCCTGGGCAGCTGCTCCAGGGAAGAGAAGGGGGCCTGGAGGAGGAAGCAGGTTAGGCTGTTAAATGAAGCCAGAGCCCACAGACAGCCACGCATGTGAAACCTGCCATCTTACTCACAGTAACCCTGGAGGGTTTTTTTGGTTTTGGTTTTGTTTCGGCATTGGGGCCTCAAGCATGTTAAGGATGAGCTTCACCCCAACCCTTCCCCAAATATTTTAAGAAGTATACACCTTCAGGCCTGGTTCTCCGTGCCCTCATCACAGCAATTCTGGTTGCTAATATTCCATAGGCAACATGCTGCTTTATAATCTAGACCCTATATATATAATTAGGCCTGTATGGACATAACCACTGGGCATGTCTCACAGCAGACAAGTCACCATCCCGAAGCTCTTACCCGGCTGGTCTGGCAGCCCTCTTGGTCCCCATCCCCCAAGTCGATGTCCATATCCAGGCTGTCTTTTGCCTCTGTCCCCTCATCTGAATGTCCAAAAGCTGGGGAAAGGATGAGTCATGCCCCAGGCAGCCTGGTTTGGTGCTGGCCGGATGGAGAGGGTGAGGCTGACAGATATGAAGAAAGTCATGTGTGACTGCATCAGGGAGCTGGGTACATGGGCGAGGAAAGGAGAAAGGCGAGCATCATACAGCCCCCGGGCTGGAGCCTTGGAGGGAATAACCACGATCAGCGGGCCACATGGCACTGTGGGTCAGCTCAGCATCCCTCAAGGACCTAAGGAATCTGGAAACTTGGGCACCAGTGTGTGAGTTGGAACCAGAGGACGGACCAGTACAGAGAGTATCAGAGTCAGTGCCCCAGGGGCTCCTGGTCTGGGAGGTGGGGAGCAACTGGGGGCGCCTGTGTGTGTAGTTAGTGAAGAGGTGCAGTGTGGGAATGGCCATGCTGCTCCCGAGCCTGTTTTTTCTAAGCAGGTAGTGCATCAAGTGGCTGTGGGACAAAAGAAGCTTTTAAGGTACAGTGTCCCCCCTGCTCCGTGTGATTTGGTGTATAGGCTTGAGGTAGATGGAAAACTTTGACAGTCAGAGGATGGAAATGCTTTCAAGGGAGGCCCAGGACTGTCTGGAGTGCAGGACATTGTACCAGGAGTCCGTGAGAAGTCACCAGGTGAAATGAGCCGCCTTTGACATTGGGCCCTTGGCTCTAACCCCAGTCCTGCTCTGTGTCTGAAGAATTCCTCCTGGAACCAGGCATGAGCAGTCCTGCCTGAAGGCTCAGGTTTGCTCCCTGAATCTCTGGCTGCATCTCTGATGCTCGCGTGCTGTGTCCAGGTAGAGCCTTGCAGAAGACCTTTAGCCATCCCTCAGCCATGGAGGCTGCCACTGGGAACAGCGCTGTGGCCGCCAGGAGATGCAGGAAAGGAAGAGGTGGCTTTATTCTGTCTCAGACTCGCCAGCTGCAGAGTGATCATAGTGGATAAGCTGGGACAGACTGGTGTTCCCAGACAGGCAGACAGGGCCCAGCCTGGAGACAAGGAAGCAGGAGTGTCTAATGCCATCCCTTGGTTCACGCACATGGCCTTGGTCGGTCTCACTACTGCTCTGTCAGGCATGCAGTGCCTCCATTTTGCAATTGTGTAAACTTATCTCTGAAGTCACTTTGACAAAATCAAACACTAATGACCCAAGATTAGAATTACTATATCCTGACTTCCTGGGCACCGTGGGTACACTCTTTCCAGAAGGCTGAAGGACCCTTGGAAAGGTGAGAAGGAGGCTCTGACCCACGCATCCTTCTGTATATGGACTTGGGCTGGGCCACCCAAGCTCATAACTCCCGGCAGCTCTGGGATTGATTCTTTGGCAGTGCCTAAGGCTGTTCCCTTCCTGTGTGGCCTCTAGGGAGAATGGGATGGTTTTTAAAATATGTCACAGGTACTACTGATCACTCTGTCTGTACATTTTCCTGCTGTTTACCAGCTGTGCGACTTAACCACTCAACCTCCCGGAGCCGCAGCTCCTTCCCTGGATCCAGAGACCACAGTGTGACACCCCAGGCTTGCTGTGAGAGTGTCAGAGGTCTCTGCAGAGCAGCGGGCAGCATAAGCCATTGAGAGGTGCAGTGCCAGTGCCGGGCAGCTGAGCAGGCCCCTC